CTGACCTCTGTCCCCACTGGCACTCTGTCCCCTGCTGCAGAACCCTGTCCTCTGCCCTCCCAGCACCCTGTACCTTCTCCCCTGCCTCCAGCCACAGAACTCTCTTTTGATATTAAATCAAAAGAACACAGAGGGTTTTTTCGACTGCAGTAAACCTCATTTTATGAGGAAGAACACCTTTTTTCGAAAGTGCATTCTTGAATGAAAAAAGGGCTTTTTCGAAAGAGAGCTCCAGCCTGCCTGGGTGCTCTCCTTTTAAAAAAGCAGCTCGCTTTTTCGTTCATTCCCCTGTGCCGAGCAACGGAACTCAGTCCCTACTGGCACCCTGTCCCCAGCTGCAGAAACCCGTCCTCTGCCCTCCCAGCACCCTGTACCTTCTCCCCTGCCTCCAGCCACAGAACTCTGTCCCCACTGGCACCCTGTCCACTGCCGAAGCACCCACTAGCACCCTTCCCTAGTACTATGGCCCCTGCTCCCACCAACACAGTTGGGGCCACATTAGTGAAGCATTAGGGGGGTTGGAAGAGGGGTGTTTTTGCATCTCACTTGTGTGGCCCCAACTGACTTTTCTGTGGCTCAGTGACCCCTGACTCAAAACAGGTTCCCTGCCCTTCTCAGAAATAAAGACAACGCAGAATTCTTTTGTGTTTGACATAGTATTTTATTTAAAAATGAAGCCTGGCCAACAAACCCCCAATTGGGGCCAAGCCTGAGCCGATCATACACGGGAACCCCCTCCTGAGCCCCTCACATACCCCAACCCTACATCTGACCCCAACACTGCCTGGCCTGGTGCCCTCTCCCCGAGCCAGTGTCCCCTTATCCACATTTCCTCCCAGAGCTTACACCTCTCACCCCTTCCCACACCCAAATCTCTCATTCCCACCCCAGAGCCTACACATCCTGTCTCAACCCAGCAAGGTTACGGCTAGACTGCAGGAGTTTTTCAGGATTCTGGAGATATCCCAGAAAAACTCTTCTGCATCCAGGGATGCAATAGTTCATCCACTTCTTTTAGTGGAAGAGCAATCATGAGCTTTCGGTCACCCCTATATTCCTCTTTCCATGGGGCTACTATATGGTGAGTGCATAACTGGCTGGATAACCAGTCTCAGAGAGTAGTTACTAACGGTTTACACTCCTACTGGAAGGGCATAACAAGTAGGGTTCTGCAGCGGTATGTTTTGGAACCAGTTCTATTCAATATCAATATCAACGATTTAGATGGCATACAGGATACGATTATTAAGTCTGCAGGTGATACCAAACTGGAAGGGGTTGCAACTGCTTTGGGGAATAGGGTCAAAATTCAGAATTATCTGGACAAACTAGAGAATCAGTCTGGGTATGTCTACACTACAAAGTTAGTTCGAACTAACGGACGTTAGTTAGAACTAACTTTAATAGGTGCTACACTAGCACTCCGCTAGTTCGAATTTGAATCGAACTAGCGGAGCGCTTAGTTCGAACTAGGTAAACCTCATTTTACGAGGATTAAGCCTAGTTCGAACTAGCTAGTTCGAATTAAGGGGTGTGTAGCCCCTTAATTCGAACTAGTGGGAGGCTAGCCCTCCCCAGGTTTCCCTGGTGGCCACTCTGGCCAACACCAGGGAAACTCTACTGCCCCCCTCCCGGCCCCGGACCCCTTAAAGGCTGACCCTACGGTGCC